ACTGGTGACTCAAGTGAAAGTGTAATGAGACTGTGTGAATCTGAAAATGTATGGATCCAAATATATAATCCGAACCTGTCAAAAAAGTGCAAACAACCAAACAATATAGTAAAGAAAAAGAACGAGAAAAAGGAAAAGAGAAAGAAAAAAATCTCTAAACAACACAAAGAGAGATGAGTGGTGACGTGACGACATAAACTAACGTGAAGAAATGACCAGAAATACCTCCAAAGGAACTGCACCAATCTGGCAAACCATCACCACACTGATATCTAATCCTAATATATGATAACAATATATTATGAAATATTCCAAACATTACAAAATGTCCCGTATAGACCTACACTGCAAAAAACTGTATTATGTCATTATACATATAAGAACCGATCACAAACATTACTGGTATGTAATAGGAATCAATTTCAATAAATTGACGGTCGAAACGTTGATGTATTTTGTCTAATATTTAATATACATTTTTTACAAACCCAGTGAGTGCTCTCATTTTCCTGGATTATATATATATATATATATATATATAAAAGAAACCAAGAGGGCTGCACTCACCTGAACATGCATACATTATAGGGTGCTGCTGGGGCAAAAATACAGAATCCAGCGCACTCGCTTATTCACTAAACAATGATTTCAAATCTTAGCGATTCCAGGACCCTATTTAGCCTTGACTTGCAGAGAGTCCCAGTAAGGAAGTATTTCCCAAGCAAGTGGATTAATCTCATAAGGGCAAGCATTAGGCTGCTAGAGTAGGACCTGCCAATGGGGTACATTGACGTTGTGGCAGACTTATGTAATATATGATCATATAATGTAACTAAACCCCATTATTTTTTGCATAGGTAAGGTGTTTTTAAATCAAACTATTACAATCTGTAAGATTTGAAATCATTGTTTAGTGAATAAGCGAGTGCGCTGGATTCTGTATTTTATATATGTATATATATATATATACACACACATACACACACTGCTACGTGTGAGGGTGCTGTGTGTAGGTTCTGTGTGTGTGAAAGGGTGCTGTGTTTGTGAGGGTGGTGTGTGTGTGTGTGTGTGTGTAAGGGTGCTGTGAGGGTGGTGTGTGTGTGTGTACAGGGCCGGACTGGGGATACAAAGCAGCCCTGGAAAAAAAATTTGTGCCAGCCCCATAAGTCACTGCGCCATATATTGTCGCGTGTAATATGTAAGGCTATGTCTTGCTAGGACAGATGATTGAGTAATATATATATATATATATATATATATATATATATATATTGCTTTTTCTAATATAAAATATAGGTCCTTTCAGGGTAAAACGTTTAATTATACAGTAAGCATACGCACATGCAGACACAGGCAATTTCACTGACATTTCAGTGACACACACAAGCTCATTGATACACACACACATAGACAAACAATTTCAACGTAAACACTGACTTTTCAGACAAAAGGCAGTGTTTACATTGCTTCAAAGTGACACTGCTAGTGACAGTCACTCAGACGGTCACTAGAGGTGCTTCCTGTGTTAGTGCCCTCCCGCGCTGCTGAATGAGACTGGCGCCGGAATATGACGTCATATTCCGGCGCCGGTCTCATTCAGCTGCGTGCTGGGGAGCAGAGCCAGCGCAGCTCGCGCAGCTCCCTCAGCGGCCGCCAGGACAAGTCCGCCAGCGGCCGCCAAAAGACCTCCCCAGCGGCCAGGGGAGGGCTGGCAGCCTTAGGCCTGGGGGGCAAAACCAGTCAAGTAGACTGGTGCACCTGCCCAGGATCAGAGCCGGTGCAAGGATTTTTGCCGCCCTAGACAAAATAAAAATTTGCTGCCCCCACATGTCACATCACAATGCCCCACCCATATGATCTGCCATATGAACTAACGCCAGTGCTGCACACAGTGTGTGTTTACATTAAAAAGCCTGCAGGGACCAGCTATAGACACCAGAACCACTTCATTAAGCTATAGTGTCCCTTTAATGTGAGGTAAATTATAGATTAGTGTCACTAATAATATACTAGATTGCCTACTTACAAGCAGATGAGGATGATGATGGGCTGCAGTTTGGCTCCACTGGTCTGGTGTAGAACAGGATCTCTGGAGGCTGTTTGCAACTGTGGTCACAAAATTCAATGTTCTGGGAGAATTGGAAGCAGCTCAATTTTTGGGGGGCCCCTTACACAGCTCAAGGTCTGGGCCCCAGGGCCTGACGGTGAGTATGCCCATAAGGCCCACTCATAAGTTCCACCCACCCATGAGTTCGCTCACAGGGAGTGGAGTGTGTAGGGGATGTGTTATGTGTTATTGTAGAGGATCTAATATGTGTGCTTATGGTATGTAGTGTTTAGGGTTACCAGTTTGTGCAGGTGATGCAGTGTGTTTGTGTGTAGTGGAAGCAGTGTGTATTTGTGTATAAGGGATGTATTATGTGTTTCTGGTTGTGTGTAAGGGATGCATTGTGTGAATCTGTGTTTGTATGCATAAGGGATGCAAGGTGTGTGTCTGTATGTGTGTGCATGAGATGCATTGTGTTTCTGTGTGTATGTAAGAAAAGAAATGTGTGTGTTTGCATGCGTGTGTACGGGTTTGCATTGTCATATACAGTTTCTGTGTATGTGTGCAAAGGATGCATTGTCTTTGTGTGTAAGGGTTGCATTGTGTGTGTGTGTGTAATGGATGCATTGTGTGTTTATCTGTGTGTAAGGGAAGCATGTTGTGTTTCTGTGTATGTATAGGGATGCATTGTGTGTGTGTGCGCGCGTAGTGTGAAAGAGCTCCCTGTCTTGGCCCCTGTCCTATAGAGCTGCCCCTTCTTCTTATTCCCCTCCCCTCTTCTTATTCCCCTCCCTCCCCTCTTCTTATTCCCCCCTCCCCTCTTTTTATTCCCTCCCTCCCCTCTTCTTATCCGTCCCTCCCCTCTTCTTATTCCCCCCTCCCCTCTTCTTATTCCCCGCCCTCCACTCTTCTTATTCCCCCCTCATCTT